CCTCCCCTCCCCCGGCGCGCCCAGACGTGGCCCCACGACAGCCGGGGGAGGCCCCGAAGACGGCTTGCAAGGGCCCAGGAGCCCCTCCGAGGCCCGTATGGGGTCCCTGAGAGGCCCCACATGGGCCCCAGAGAAACTCCCCCAAGCCCCCGGGAGGCTCTCATGCGGTCTGGGAGCGGGCACCGAGCGCCTGCGAGCCGATGGTGCGTTCCCGAGGGGGGATCCGTGCTGGCCCCTGCTGTGCAGCCTCCTCCTTCCTCTCCTCCAAGAGTCGCTCAGCGTTTCTAGAGACAAGTTCGAATTCTCACACCCCAGCTAAACTACCAGGAGGAGGAGGAGGAGGAGGAGGAGGAGGAGGAGGAGGAGGAGGAGGAGGAGGAGGAAGAGAAGGGGCCCAGGCCTCCCAGGAATCCAGGGGCCCGCACCACCAGGCGGCATGTATTGGCCCGGCCCTTCTGTTAGCCAGGGCATACCATGAAAATGCAAGGCAATCTGTTTGGCCATCGATCTACACCATCGGGGCAACCAGCAGAACGAAGTGGCATTTATTTGCTCGGGCGCTCATTTAGAAGAATGCACTAAGAACATACAAAGCCACAAGGCACCACGAGACACCACGGGGCATCACGGAACACCACTATCGACCCTGCTGTCGATATCTCGCCGCCGATCTCTTTATCAATGTCACTGTCGCTCTCACTATCGATCTTTCGATATCACTACCGATATCGCTGTCTATCTCTATCTACGATTGCTGCCACTATCGCTTCCACTATCGATCCCATGATCGATCCCGTTGTATGTATCGATATCACGATTTATTGATCCCACAAGCGGCCTCACTATCGATCCCACTTTTGATGAATCTAACGATATCACTATCGATCTCACTCTCTATCTAGCTATCGATCTCACTATCGGCCACGATATTGACCGCACCATCGATCTCACGATCGATCTCAGTATTCGGTCTCACTGTCGATTTGTTGATCGACCTCACTATCGATTTCACTACCCATCTCACTATCGACCTCATCGACCACACGAGACACCACGGGACACCACACGAAACCTCGGGACACCACGGGACACCACGGGAAACTGGCGGCACACCCCCCAGCCACTGCCGTCCAACTGGGGGAGGGGAATCATTGAGCCTGGTTTCGCCATGGCAACAGCGGGTTCATTCCTCTCGCCTGCCCACACAGCTTCGCCTCGCCCGCACGCGCGACACAAACACGAAACTGAAAGCGATTTCCTGGTGGGGGGCTCGCCGATTCACTGCGATCTCGCCCCCAACCTCCGATATACGATATACCATCCACCACACGGGTTTTAGGGCAGGCGACAAAAACCATACCCTCGAACAGCGACCTGAAGGCTGATAGGACACCCTAAAGGTACAAGTCCTCCTGGCCTTCGCCCTGGTCAAAGACATCGACCGCCATGGCATTGCAAGAGAATCGTGCGTGGACTACAGGAGGGCCACCAACAAAGATGATCGGCACTACCATTGCTCCCGCTCGCTCCTCCTTCTTCTGCGCGACGAAGATAACCCACACCGCTGGCGCGAAGGACAACACCTCTGCCAGGTGCTCGGCAGGATGGGGATTAAGTTCCGCAGGGGGGGGGGGAGGGCAAGAAGGCAGTCATGAGAGACGGCAGCTCTGCCATGCGCGCACATAACCGCCGAAGTGTCGACATCCTGTGCGGATGGTGCAATTGGGGGAGCGGCCGGAGTGCGCAGGTAAGAGCATCCAAACTGAAGACCGAGTCAATCATAGCAGAACAACAAGGCGTAAGGAACGCAATGTGAAACAGAAACTGGTTCTTGAAGCCGCACGCACAGGAACACCGAAACGGCATAGGCTACATCATTACAACAATATTGGCATATGACGACACGGCATAAACCACAGGTCAATGAACTTAACGTGAAACTGCAACGCATGGAAACACGTACATACTTCAATCTGGAAATGCTGATGAAGACCTCACGGTAAGAACAGCACATGAGCATGCAAGAAGCATGAACATAACACGACAATTAGAGGAACGATTACACATGTACGATGTGGACGCTATGATAACGCCAGACACATGTGCCAGAACAGCACACAAACACCGACCAACGAAACAAAAACATAACGATACCCAATGTACAAAGCATGGCAATCAAATGCAATGGCGCACGTCACGATGCGCAAGGGAACGATCATCTACATATACGGGCACGACAGCAAACATGCAATGATAATAAAAAAACGCATGCGCACAAACATGAGTATAGGAAACACGCAACAGGACCGTATAGGGAAACTGCCAAGGAACCGAATCAGCCCGTAGGACGCCATAGGACCAGTCCATACCCATTTCCAAACCCGACCCCGATAACAACATGGTATACGGTGTCGACCCCTCCACACAGCTCCCATTACTGCCCCATGATGACCCTATAGGGGCGTCCCCTTACAAGAACGAATGGGATGGAAGGGGGGAACAATTTTGATCGTTAGGTTGTGGCTACGCAGACGAGCGACATCCTGCAAATCCCTCGGCCCCCGACGCAGCCAACGCGAAGGCCCTGGAGCGTCCAGAGGAGTCGCAATGAAAGACGCGGGCTGGGATGGAACGCGGGCTTTCCCCAGCATCAGCTCGTCACCCCAAGCCGTCTTTGACGACCCCCCCCGCAGCTTCTGGAGGGCCCCAGGGCGCCGAAAACGGTGGAGAACCGCCGAAAGGCGCGCTGGGGGATCAAAAACAGCACCAATGACACGCCGCAGCGGGGGAACCTAGTAGCGCGCGAGCAGACACACCGGGCCAGGCCTCCGGGCAAAACGGGGGAGCAGCACAAGGACGGGCTGCCAACGGCAGCGTGCCACTGGTGGCACCCCTGCCTCCCGAGCGGCAGCCCGCCCCGAGAGGCCGCCGCTCCCCGCCGCACCGGCCCAAAGCCAGAGAATCGCCACCTCGGCGGTGGGCAGCGGGCGGGCGCGCTGGCCGGCGAGGGCGCGACAGAGCCCTGGCCGCAGCTCCGGCGCCGAGCTCTGCGGGGGCCACGGGCGGCGTCGGGGGCCATCAGGCCTCGACGTGCCGGAGCCTCATGGGGCGCAGCGGCGCGCCAGGTTCTCGAGCTCTATAAGGGGGGGGGTCGCATTCCTTCAGCGTCCAGCACCGGCCCAGTGGGCCCAGTGACGGGGGGAGGGGCAGTGGGAGCACAATGAACCCAGCCATCCAATGTCTGAATGTTTCTGCTGCGGGCTCCCTGCACGTCCCGACCCTTTCCGGAGGGTATGTTTTTCGTCCCATATGGATCGTTTTGTTGGCGGTCCCGGGGCCAGGCGAGGGCCCCCAGAAGCCGAGAACGGCAAAACACCTGCGCACTGGACTTGCAATCCTTGGACACGAGGAAAGCGGCAGCGAGGACGAGGCGGTAGGCAGCAAGCACTGCGCAGTGCGTAAGGCTGTCATCCTGCCCCGCCTGGGGAGGCTCTGGCCAGGCATGGGGCTCCCGGGGCTCCAGGACGAGCCCGTCGCAGACTCTGCTCGGCATCGCCGGGTGTTGGCGAGGCGAGAGGGGAGAGGTTGACGGAGAGGGGGGCAAGGACGTTGGCGAGGGTGTCAGGACTCGGGTGGTACAGTCGGGGCGTTGACCTAAGGAACCCTAAATAAGGAACGAGACCCCATTTTCCATAGGTTCAACTTCGATCTCCCATCGAAAAACAGAAGGAGGACCTGAGGCAAGCTGCGAAACAATTAAGGAACATGGAGCCCCTGCCCAACGAAAAGGGTTCCTTCTTCAGCGACCCGACTGTATGCGAGTGTGTGGGCGGCCTTCCCCGATTTCCTGCCCCCCCTCCAGGAAGGATGGGCCCGCCCCGGCCCCGGCCGCGCCCGCGCGCGCGGGGCGCGGGGCGCGCCCTGTGGGTGACGCGTCGTCGGTTTTCACCAGAGAGAGAGAGAGAGAGAACAAAAAAAATAAAGAACAACAAACAAAGAAAGAAAGCAAGAAAGAAAGAAAGAAAGAAAGAAAGGGGTGGGTGAGGTGTCGTCGTCAAACGGTGGCTCAAGCATGAAGTGGCGCTCAAAAATCACAGTGACCGAAGGGTGGCAGAGATGGGTGAGGGGGGGAAGCAGAAGGACGACTGTCAATCCGTTCCGCGTGTTCACACTTGCAAGCTCCAGGTCCAGGGGCGGCGAGTGGTTCGTCGAGGCAGGCACGAATGATGTGTTGCGCCTCGTCGCCACGGGTCCCAGCTGGCTCCAATGCGTGCGGGGCGCCCAAGCGGGGATCCTGAGCGAGTGCGTATATGGCTCGTGCTGTGTACATCTTAAATCCGTGTATGAACTTCACGGTGTATTTGTAAGCACAGGTTCCACACTATGTATAATACCTCGACGCCTCAACCTCCAGGCAGATGCCCCGACGCTCACGCACAGTCCTCGCGAAGGCGCGGTGCAGGGGTGGCGTATAGGTAGCGGGCCCGCTGCGCAGGCACTGCTCGCTCGGCACTCCGAAGCGCCTGGGGCATCAGAGTGGTCCCGCGCGCTGCCGGCTCTATGAAAGGAGGAGGAGGAGGAGGAGGTGGAGGAGGAGGAGGAGGAGGCGAAGGAGGAGGAGGAGGAGGAGGAGGAGGAGGATGCGGTCGAGAACTTTTGCTGAAGTAGCGAGTCTCGGCGTTGGCCCCGGCGACACGCTATGCACTGCGAGCGGCTAGCGTGTCGCCTCGCCTCGCGGGACGAGAAGCTTCGACTGTCTCGAGACGCTGGCTTCCGGGGGCCAGGAAGTGGTCAGCGTGTCGCGCCCAAACGCGGTGGGCCAGAACAGACGCCGCGACACGCCAAACGAAAGTTCCCGACTGCAGCCTGCCTCGAGCCCCATTCGGAAGATTGACAGGCCCAGATGCGGGGGGGGGGGGTCCTTAGGATCGGCACCGAGAGAATGTGATACCACACATGGGGATAGAGGGACACGTCTCAGGCTGGTGAGAGAAAGGTGGGGAGGAGGGTGGGCAATGGGGACGAGGAAGAAGTTGACAAGCAGGAGTAGGAGGCGCGTCAAGTCGGAGGATGACGCTTTTCTCGGACAGGCAACCTGGCAGAGCCGAGCGGCCAGAGCCATCCGGAGTCTTGCCCTCCGAATGAAATCCGCGGGCCTCTTCCGAAGACGCCTCGGAGCTGGTGGCTGAATCTGCGCGCCCATGCGACGCTGCCTGGCCACACCATCACGAACCACCCTCCCGCTCCGAATCTGTCGCGTCGTCGCCGCTTACAACAGATTCCTGCCGTGACAGCGTGACCTGGCGTTTCCGTCACCACGCGAACCCTGCAAACCTGAACGCCCTTCGCCACCAGGGGTACCGAGGGGCTTCCAGCATATTTGGTATCGAACGCCCGCCCCCGCGCTGCCGCCGCGGCGAGACAGCACTGATCTGCCGCAGCTGCGTGTGCTTTTTCGGGAAGCCAGAAAGGTGCCCATACTCCATACCACTACTCCCCGGACCTCTCCTGGGGTGCGCTCTGGCCAGAACTTCGAGGAAGACCCGGCCGGGACGAGCAGCGGTATGGGGGCTGCGTCCATTTCGTTCCCCCTCTGCCGGATGCTAGAGCGACTGGTGTTGGCCCGCAGCGCACGCGGGACATCTGGCTGCCCCGCCTATCGCCCGTGCCCCCTCCGCCCCTTGCCTGGGAGCCCATATTCCCCGTCTGACGAGTTGAGTACCTATGCCGTCGCAGGGGCTTCGGCAAGCAGGGCAAGCGAACAGGACGAGGAGGCGAGGAGGGAAGCGCTGTTGGACGTTTTGCGAGACACAGCGTGGTATGGGAGGGGGGAAAGCAGGAGGTAGGCCTGACCCTAGCCTTGGTCCGTGCGTCCACCACCCCGCATGTTGTGGGTGCCCCCTGGCCCGCTCCCCCCCGCTGAGGCGAGAGGGCGAGAAAGGAAGGGAGAGAAACGGAAGAGGGGGGGTAGTACGAGGAGGGGCCCACTCAACCTGCTCACCGACCTAGGGGACTGAGAGGGGCATGTGACAAGAGGTTTTGGCGACCCAAATCCCGACTTTCGACATGCCATAACATTTGGGGTCCAACTTCGGGATCTAGGATCGGAGGGGTATAACCAGTGACCCCCCTTCTGAAACCAATTGATTTTTGGAGGAGAAACTCGGGGATTCGGGGCCAGAAATCGCCTGCGAGCAAGCTCGCCCGCCTCGCCCACCTCCTTCGCTTGGACCACCGCGGGAGGAGGGTCCCTAACGAGCGTTTCACTCCGCGAAGTGGGCGAAGCCAATGAAGCCCAGCTCTGACTCCCGAAATCACTTAGCGCAGGTCAGACGCGGACAGCCCGCCTCAGCATCCACTCATCACCCCCCTAAAGGCCTCCCAGACGGGGTCGGCGAAGATGGGGCCCGTGGATCTCAACATCGCCGATGCATCGGCGATGCATCGTCGATGCATCGGTGATGCATCAGCGACGTTGGCGATGCAGCCAGCGGCGATGTCCGTGTGGAGAAGATCGGGCTCCACATCGAGCCGCATGGCCGATGTGTCGGCGATGCGCCGCGGTACTGCACCCCATCTACTCTTGGGTGCCTTTTGACTATTCATAAGTTCTGGGAATCCAAATTAGGCCTGCGTGCATAAGGTGGGCGTGTGCGGTCTTTGGGCGTGCAGAAGAAGTGTACGTTGGCATCCGATCTGCTCATGCCTAAACAAATGGATCCTTTTGGGTATCGTCGTCCTGGGTATGGTCGCTTCGAGCATGCCGAAACGAATTTCGAATGGTACTCCGCTCCGACCCCGCCCGGGAAGCCTGGAGTGATCCGAAAAGGGGCAGGGCCTGGCGGAGGGGAGCGCAGAGCTCCGGGGGACCTGCATCAGAGCACCTCGTCCAGCAGCACGACGCCTCCGCCCTCCGCGGCCGGCGCCGCGCCTGCCAACCTCCGCGCCTTGCGGGGCGCCCCCGATCCGGAACCCGCGCTCTCTCTGGAGACCGTCCGGGCGATCTTCGTGGCCTCCACATCCATCACCTCCGCGGCCACTGCGACGTCCTCGTCCTCGTCGCCGAGGGCCTCGGCGAGCTCCTCGATCTCGGACTCGTCGTCGTCGGAGAGGTCCTCGAGCTTCTCGTCGTCGACCCCGAGGGCGACCCCGGATCGGGCCAGCTCTGTCGCCTTTTTCCGAGCGTCCGCTCTGGCCTTTCTTGCCTCTCAGGGGGCGTGGGGGGAGGAACGTGCAATGAATAAGTTGTCCCATCATGCTTTCGAGCAAACTGCAGCGCTTTCGCCGTACATCCGTGCTAGACATGTCTGGGCGTCGCGAGACTGGGCGAATTACGCCTGAAGCAACTGAAGACACGCTGGGGCAAGTAAAACAAGCTTCGACATACCGGGCAAAGCAGTGGGTGTGGGTGCTCAGAACAAATGCACGAACTTGCTCACGTTGACCTGTGCAACCCCCAGACCCACTCCCCATGGGAAGCCACAGCCGACGACTAGAGAACAGGAGGGTGCCGCCAGAAAACTGAGCGCGTGTGGGTGGCTTGGCGGGCGGTGATGCTTTCAGAGAACTAGGTAAGGTAGGTGTAGCATGTTCGCGCTGGTTCTCCCATTGCCATCCCAGACTGCGCGGTCGCACACGGTGGGATGAGTGATGGAAGGGCGTGACGAGTAGGCATCGGATGCCTCAGAGAAAGCACCCTCCCACGATGCCAGAATACCTTTAGGATCTTCCAAGATGCGTCGGTCGCGGGGGCTACCCGTGCCAAAAAGACGGTGGGTCCATCCGATACGATGGATACCAACGGCGCGATGCCCCGCACGATTGTCCGTTGACTGTCGCTTCAAGGCATGGCTACATCATTCGGTGCTCCTCCTCTTCCTCCTCCTTTCTCCTCCTCCTCCATCATCATCATGTGCTTGATTCCTCCCTCAAGCAGGACACGTGAGTCAGGGAAACCTCGCGAGCGTCCTTTGCCGATATCTCCTTCTTCTTCGCAAGCCTCTTGGCTTTGGCGGCTCGCTGCTTCTCCTTTTCAATCTGCTTCTGTTTCCTGAGCTGCTTCTCCCGCTCCTTCGCTTCCTCCGCTGGGTCGGGAATAGACACGGGGACCCCAGATTGGGAGAGCACTGGGAAGATGATCCCTAGAGAGGTGCACAAACAATGGGCTCGCAACCCCACATGGCCGACCTAAACCCTATTGGCAGGCAACGGCGCGGTGGTCCAATCTTGGCCTCACTGGCTTCCGCCAACCTTTCCCAAACGAAACTGCCATCGTTCTTCTCCCTCGGGCTTCCGCGAACCGTCCGTCAAGGGTGAGAGGTCAACCACTCTGTTCGACTCGTCGATGCATGCGGCCCTGTTAGGAACGTCACGCGGCGCGTCCTGCTTGGCCTTTGCCTCCTTTTCCTTCGCTTCCAACTCCTCCTTCAGGGCCCGCTCGGCCGCCTTTCTCCTCTCCGCGACGGGGTTGCCTGAAGGGCACGAGCGCTGCTCAAGTCCCACGCAGGCTCGTGGAGAATGCAAGTGGCAAAGTTTCGGAAACCAATGAGGATGGGAAGCATATCGGTATAATGATACCATGATGCTGCTTCTGCGGATACCGATGCTGTTCCTGCTCCATTACATTTCCTTCTACATCATTTTTCCATATCGCATCCCGAGGCCGGTCGCAAGGGCGGACCAGGCGTTTCGCCTGAGCCTCTCCACGCTTATGCTCATGCAACTCAAGATTTGTAACAGCTTCACGAATGGAGGGTGGATCGGTTTGAAAATGTCGCTCTCGCCTCAGCGCCGCGCACTTTCGTTTTAAAGAACTGGAGCCATTTCACGGATGGAGGGCGGGCCGTTTTCACAATGTGGCACTCGGCTTAGCCCCGCGCATATCCGTCTTCAAACGCTATTGCAACAATTTTCTCGGATGGAGGGGGTGGGGTCCTTTTCAAAATGTGCCTCTCGCCTGAGCGGCGCGAACATCCGTCTGAAAAATACAAGAGCTTCACAGATGGAGAGTGGGTCGTTTTCAGCACGTTGCTCTTGCCTTGGAGCCGCACACATCCTTCTTAACACATTACAGGAGCTGCACGGAGGGAGGCGGCTCCAATTCAAAATGTGGCTCTCGCGTTCGTGGCGCGCACATGTGTTTGAAGAGTTCACAACCGCATAATGAGTATCATGGTTAACGCCCCAGAGCTTGTGTTTTGGCACGGTGTTGGACTGTCAGGGCGCGTCGGTTACGTTGATTCGTCGTGTTGGTATGCAAAGAACGGTTCTCTGGCACGGCTGAGGGCCGCCAAGACGCAACAGTGACGGTGATTCGCGGCGTTGATATCCCAGGAATGGTGTCCTGGCAGAGTTCAGGACTGTCAGACGTTTTTTCTCCAACGGGGCATTGCCTTCAGTGAAAATGAACCCTTGCAGGGGCACGTGAAGAGGGAACTTGGATGCAGGATGTTTCGCAATATCATTTGTGAGTCTTGGGTTTGCACTGGTCCTCCTCCTCCGCAGTGCCCAGGGAACAATTTGAAAGAAGAGCGGGGCCTCAATTCTGGTAGACTTTCTGGCCCAGGCAACTATATCCAAGCCCCCTATTCTCCACCCCCCTCCTGGACGCCCCCGACAACTACACAGCACCCTTATGAGCCTGCTTGTGATTCCCATGCTCGCCCTCCAACTCCCATTCTCGATCTTCGGCCCGCCCCGTGTACCTAATCTTCCTTCCCTCGTCGTGTTCCCCCTCCTTCTTATCCTCTTGCCACCCCCTCACCTCTTCATCAACTTCGTCCTGGTGCTTCGCTTCCTCTTCCTCATCATGCATGATCCCACTCCTCCTCCGCCTCCTTCTTAGCATTAGTCCTGCTCGTCTCTCTGTTTCCCCTTTTTGTTATCCTTGCGATGGCTTCCTCCCGCCCCCCTTCCTCAGTCTCTCCCTCTTCCTCCTCCAACTTACCGCCCTCTTCCTCATCCGCCTCGTCCTTCCGCTCTTCTCCATTCTGCATTTCCCCTCCTCCATGGAAGGTGTTCTTGGAAACCCTGGGTGGAGGGGCAGGGCGGAGGAGGAGGAAGAAGAGGATGGAGGAAACACAGGAGGGACTCGTTCCCAAACAGTGCCTGCACCTGGGGCTCCTCCACTGTTCCTTTTAAACCATGGTGGTTCGGGGCGTTCGCCCGGCACCCGCCCAGAGCGGAGGAGGGGCAGGGCGGAGGAGGAGGAAGAAGGGGATGGAGGAACCACAGGAGGAACCAGTTCCCAAGCAGTGCCTGCACCTGGGGCTCCTCCACTGCTCCTCTAAACTGTGGTGGCTCGGGGCGTTCGCCCGGCACCCGCCCGTGGGCCCGCCCGTGGGCGCCCCGTGCCGGGCGGCAGGGCGGGCGTTCGGGTGTGTGCCGTGCCCGCTCGGTGCTCGCCCGTGGGCGCCCCGTGGGCGCCCCGTGGGCGCAGAATGCTGACCTACGGGGCGCCCCGTGGCCCCGTGGGCGCCCCGTGGGCGCCCCGTGGGCCCAGTCGGGGCGTTGACCTAAGGAACCCTAAATATGGAACGAGGCCCCTTTTCTCCAGAAGTTGAACTTCGATTTCCCTTCGAAAACCTGAGGAAAACGTGGGGGCAAACTGCGAAACAATTAAGGAACAAGGAGCCCCTACCCAACGAAAAGAATTCCTTCTTCAGCGCCCCGACTGTATAGCAGTTCCCGGTTTCCGCCCAGTGCCCGCCCGTGCGTACCTCGTGTGGGCTACACGCCACACGGCTTACGCCGCACAGCTTGCAACACACACAACTTGCGCCACACGGCTTGCACCACACAGCCTGCACCGCACAGCTTGCACCTCGATGCGTGCACCCCGTAGCTTGCACCACGCAGCTTGCACCACATAGCTGAGGCCACATCGCTGTCACCGCATAGCTTACACAACAGAGATTACAATTAGCCTGGCTACTCCACAGAACTTGCACCTCGTAGCTTGCACCACATAGCTTTCACCCCGTAGCTTGCACCATAGCTTGTACATCCACCGTGCCCGAACTCACCGCCTTGGACCAACACTGCCACCTTGTGCTTGATCGAAACACTCCTCGCTCGCGATGGAAGAAGAACAAACTAAGATCTAGTGGGGCGCGCAGCGGCGAGGCGCCGCCCTAGTATGCAGCCGTATCACGGCGGCACCGATGGTTAGAAGAAGACCGACGGGCGCAACGCGAGCGGCGCCGTTTCAGAGGGGCGGCTCCGCTAAAGCGGGATGATTCGCCCAAAATGGCGACAGCCGAAAGAAAGAGAGAGAGAGAGAGAGAGAGAGACACAAACAAACACGAGAAAGAGAGAGAGAGAGAGAGACACACACCATACAAAACACACAACAACAATAACAACAATAACAACAACAACAACAACAACAACAATCATTTTACCCGAACGCTCAGTGTTCTCCCCAGTGCCAGGGTTTTCTTGCGACACCAGCCAATACCCCCACTTCGTGGGGGGGCCGTTCAAGCTCTACCAAATATCCAAACGACTCTTCGAGACCACCCACACCCAGCTTCCCGCCCTATGACGTTGGGACACTTCACTTCGTGGCGTGCGGACGACCCTGGCTACTACACTGGCGTGGGGTACACACCCACAGAGGTTGATCACATCTGTTACATATGATGTGGTACACGGTACACGTGAGATGGTACGCAGTGCCAAGATAGTTGGTCACATTTTTGGGGCAAATCTTGCGCGCCTGTTGGGGCCATCTTGGGTTTTAAAGATTCATCAAGAGACCGCGAATGGATGTCGAGATTTTTCGGATGAGAAAGTAGTGCGTTTTCATATGTTTTCTGAACATCGCATCTTGAAATTATTAAAAAAAAAAAAAAAAAAAAAAAAAAAAAAAAAAAAAAAAAAAAAAAAAAAAAAAAAAAAAAAAAAAAAAAAAAAAAAAAACCATTGTGTTTGGCAGGATTTCGACATGCGCGCGCGGCGGCCGCGCGCATGTGCACTTCGTCTCATTTTTTGCAAGGGATGGTGGCCCTCGCAGGCGCGCAACCGTTGTTGGAGAAGTTCAAAGCACCTGAAGAAGTAGCACGCAAAGACCCTTTTGACAGAAATGTTTAAAAAGTGGTGTGTTTCCTATGAATCCGCAAGAGCGCGCGGAAGGACATTTTGACAATTTTTTCTTAAAAAACCATTGGGTTTTTGATGTTTTTATGTTAAAATCGTTACGAAACCTAAGGTTTTGGAAGGATTTCGTCTTGCGAGCGCGAATGTCCACTTTACCTTATTTTTTGCAAGGGATTCTTGAAATTTGATCAACTAAGAACAAGAATTTTCATTTTCTATTGTTTTTTGCAAGGGAAAACGAGCGTCAACAAAAAACCGGATCCGGGGGTAATCCACTTTTCTGAAGCTTTCGCAGAAAAATGATGAAAATGTAGCTGCGGCCTAGGTTTTGGGCGGGGGGCGTGCACCAGGGGATCCAACAATAATAATTCTTTAGAAGTAATAGTGTTCAACAACAACAACAACAGCAGCAGCAGCAACAACAACAACAACAGTAACAACACCAACACCACCAACAACAACAACATCAACACCACCACCAACAACAACAACACCAACAACAGTAACAGCAACATCAACACAAGAAACAACAACAACATCACTACCACCAACAACAACCACAACAATCACAACATCAGCAGCAACAACAACTACAATATGTTGAGACTGTTCGCTCCAATATGCTCACGTGCCAATCAATACGTATATCCCAAACCCTCGGTACCCGCCCTCGTCGTCTTCGATCGTACCCCCTTGGGAGTATAACTTCCTCACCTGTCACGTGTATTTAGTGAAACCCCTAAAACAAGGGAAGAGAGGACGGGTGGAAGGGGGAGGGAGAATAATGGAACACGAGAGAAATTAGCAGGAGTGGGACAAGGACAAGAAAACAAGTGGTAGAACCAGACGGGCAGATCGGGTGGGCAGACCCATAGCAGACAGGTCGGGAAGGCGGGCCCAGGCGACGAGGTCGAGCAGGCGGGTTGCTGAAGCGTGAGTCCTGCATGAATCGCGAGGAAGTCTCAGCGATAGCGCGATTCCCAAGTAAATCGTGAGAAGAGCCAGCGTGGGCCACGAAGGGCATAAAATCCGAGGCCACAGAGGGTAGCGACGGGGCCGCTGAGGGCAGCACCGGGGCCACGAAGGGCAGCGAGGGGGCCACAAACGGCGACAGCGGGGCCACGAAGGGCATGCATATGGGGCCAAGACGGGCGCGAGCGAGCGGGGGCCACGAAGGGCATTCGTATACGGGGCCACACAGGGCGACAGCGGGGCCACTGAGGGCAGCAAAGGGGCCACGAAGGGCAGCGAGGGGGCCACGAAGGGCGACAGCGGGGCTACGAAGGGCATGCGTATGGGGCCACGACGGGCGCGTGCGAGCGGGGGCCACAAAGGGCATAGAATGAGGGGCCACAAAAGGCAGCGACGGTGCCAC